AAGCAAATGTTTCTACAACATTGTAATTGAAAGGAATTATGTGCTCATTATTGACAAGGAATTTATTGAGTTCCTTTTCGACCAAATTGAGAAGAGGTCCAATAATGGCTCCTTGCTCATCGTCACTGAAAGAAAATAACTGCTTTATTGGTGGAAGGGGGGATTCCTGAATGTTTCGGTCATTGTTGTAATTATTGTGGGGGCTGAGTTCTGTGTCATGGTATTCTTTCATTTTCTGTTGTTTTGCCTTAATTTGCCTTGCTGCTTCAATTTGATTTGGTTGTATTGCTTCTATTTCTGCCATTCATTTCTTGAGTTCCTTTCGACCAAATTGAGAAGAGGTTCAATAATGGCTCCTTGCTCATCGTCGCTGAAAGAAAATAACTGCTTCATTGGTGGAGGGGAGGATTCCTGAATGTTTCGGTCATTGTTGTAATTATTGTGGGGGCTGAAGCGTAGAACGGTGGGGTGCGCTATTCTCGGTGATAACGGTGGGTGCGCAGAGATGAAAGTAAAGCGCAAGAGATGGAGATGTTTTTATTTTTACGACGCGCTAGATCATAAACAATAAACAAGTCGCGTGATTCTGGCACAGTAACGTGACAATTCGTACAACATCAATGTACAACTGTTCCATTTGCATGTCACTGTATCTGACTTTTTCACATTCATATGCCTTTGGCGAGTACACCTTTAGCGTTCAATCGTAGGTATGGTAGTTCATCCTGCTGCAAATTGCGAAAGTTTGAGAATACTAAGCAAATTGCAAGCTTTTGCACTGCAAAATACACTCTCCACGGTATATAGGCTAATCAATATGTCAGAGAAACAGTGTCACTCAGAATACACAACTATGGAAACGAGTCGATTCGTTCAGTAAAGGTAAGAAATGGAGAAAGAACCGATTCGTTCAGTAAAAGGTGAGAAATAGATAAAGTTAAGGGTAGGCTAAGGCAACTCGGAAAGCCATTGGCGTATTTCGTTGTGTTTCATATCCAAGTTCGTCGTGTGTACACCTTTAGCGTTCAATCGTAGGTGTAAACAAATAAAGAACGCAAAACTCCAAGTTCGTCGTGTATATATAGAGCAGGCGACCGTATAGTTCCGAAAATAAGCACCCCCTTTTAATTATAGGCATGCTTTTTGTTAACGAAATTATATGTAATCATATGCATATTAATATAGAAACATTGGTACATACAATTGATCGTTACCATTGTTGAATACATTTTGGGGAAGGTGCTTATTTTCGGAGGTAAAAATTTTGGGGAGGTGCTTATTTTTGGAGGGTGCTTATTTTCGGAACTATACGGTATATTGATAAAAGCGACGATACATTGTGACCAGCCTTGGTATATATCTGCTCCATTCAGAATTCAATGGAATAGAGTAATGGAGCTTGTACTCCATTGACTCCATTGGCTCCATTGATTCAATTGTAGCACAGTAATTTTGTTGGCAATGGAGCGAATGGAAAAGTTGCCTTTTTAGGATAACCAAATAATAATGGCCAATAAAATGTCATCTCATCTCCTTTTAATATCACGTGTTTTATTTTGTGAATGTATATCCAATGGAGCATTGGACTGGAGCAATGTTCCAGTAGGTCATTGGAGTACAATGTGTCAAGGCTGATTGTGACCATTAAATCAACTAAGTTCATTAAATCGAGGCCAAGGTGTGATACGTATCCTTACCGTATTAAAATTTCTCGCATATCTTCTATACGCTGGAAGGTAGAGTGTATTAAAAAACGATCCTTAAGAAACTAATCACTCATTTTGAAACATACCTCGTATTTAAGAGTGTTAGTGGACCGTTTAACGGAATTAATCACTTGAGGTAATGGTAAAACATAATGAAAATAAGTTGACCTATTAGACTTTATTCCAAAACATTGCACTTTCGTTACCTAGCAGAGTTATCAAAATCTCCGGGATGGCTGGGTGTGATGGTTTTTGTATATCTTCAAAGGCTAAAGTCAGTAACTTCCACCATAACTCAGCCTTAGTCATGCTGTGTGCAACTCTCCTATAAAACCAGGTGATGACTTCGCACTCGCTATAGTCGTATTAGCATTAGTTTCTCGTTCTATTCGAAGCCTGTATCAGCAAACACACCAAGCAACAAAAATAACAGCTTTTATACAAATGGCCAGTCTTATACTATAACAATGTCCTTAACCCTTTGTTTTTTTTTTGAAGACACTGAGCCGTTATCGGATGATGAGGTCGGTTGTGGGAAACAGTTTAGAAATTAACTTTGGAAGAGTTAGAGCGGACATCGTGACAGAGGAATGAAGTGCCAGCGAGAACTGAGTCTAGAATGTCTGGCGGGAGAGAGAACAAATGTGTAATCAAAGAGTATTTGGAAGAGACCTCTCGTTTGCACTATTAAAACGTATTCTAATAGTTGGGTGGAATTTCTGATTGTATGAATGTAAAAATGTAGGCAGCATAAGTAGAGTTGCGAAAGGAACAGGAAAATGACAAATGATTGGTTAGTACCAGTCAATGTCTACCACATAAATCACACAATCCAACCTCACCATTAATGTAACTCATTTGCCTCCAACTTTTCTTATTACCGGGATCATGCAAGACACAGATCCCCGCGTACTACGTTGGCGCATCTTTTAGATCAACTCCATTTAGAATGTTCATAAGTCGTCACATGTTTGCAAACGAGGTAGGCAGTTGCGAATGTTTAGACGCTGAAGAAGTCGATCAGCAAACGTTGATGAGAAATCATTCATATCATGCAAAGCTGACACATCGTTTGCTAAATCTTCAATAAGTCATCATTATTCTCTTCATTGTCATTGTCGCCGTCATAGTTATCTTCTTCGTCTTCTCATCTTCATATTCATGTTCATCCACTTCTTCATTTTCGCCTCACCATCTATATCCCTCTTTTTCCTTCATTCTCCTCAAATCTTCACCTAACATCCTTTTCCCTCGTTCCAATCGTTCCAGTTTCTCTTTTTCTTCCAATAAAAGTTCTTCCGTTTAGTACGATCTGTGGGTCGAGCATGTTTCTCGAACGTGAGTCCGTGCACCTGCAATATTGTTATTGTATCCTCGGGGAGATCCGTATTGTGCTATGCTAGGTTATTGATGACTACCTTTTGCATCATATCGTAAAACTTGGGTGAGGTGCCGGTCGTTTGCCCCTCACAACATTTCTGGAAACCACCCATACACACCGATAATGCGATATCTTTTAACATCTAATGACGAGCGTGTGCCACCTCAGTAAATTGAACTGGGATATTCATCGAATGACGTTAGGACTTCGTTGGGTGGTTGGACAGTATTGGATGAATATAATGATTTGTTTCTTTTTTCGTGCACTACCTTGTTAATCTATTCTTGCGTGGATTGTTCCTTTTTCTCTGTCATCCCGACTCGTTTGTTTATACGATAAACATATATGCCACGCTTTTTCTATAAAATTATATAGGATATAATTATTAGCTTAACAGTATATACAAAAGCGCGTTTTACGTCCAGTAAACTTACGTTTCAGTGAATCCTTTTTGGTTATTATTATGGACATATTCCGAGATACGACCACACGTACTAGGCATGTTTGTTAGTGGTTGCGCCCGGCAGCTAAGAACGAGACAAGACGTGCAAGAGCGAGCTTTGAGTGTGAATTTTGCGAATGGGGATTTTATATACACTCACCGGACATTGATGAATGAAATCATACAGTAAAACATATGAAAAATCTTTTTTTTCGATGATTGTATTTGTCGAATAAAACAACGATAAGCCAAGATATATTGTTCCTACCAAGCTGTAGTCAAATGAAGTGGCGGTGCGTTGAAAATATATGTTTGTATATGTGTAATTTATATTTTTTCAATGCACTGCCACGTCATTTGGTAGGAACAATATATCTTAGCTTATCGTTGTTTTATTCGACAAATACAATCAAAATGGTACAAAAACCTTTTGCATTTATATGGTAATACAGACAATAGGGACTTTCGAAAAAAAAATTTTTTTAATATGTTTTACTGTATGATCGTCCGGTGAGCGTATATTAATCCAACCTCCCTCTCCAGTGCGCGAAAAAAGTAATGAGAATGACGTTTTTATTTATAGTACAACGAAAACGGGTTAAAAATATACAAAAATTTGCAGGTATACTGCCTATAATATGATAAACAAGTTTACTTAAGACCGCTTAATAGTTATCTTATTACCATTCCTTGCAATTATTTCCTCCAATCTTCTTGGCATGCTACGAGCCAAATTAACAAAGGTTTCAGTTTCGACCCCATCCCATTCTTTCTGAATTATCTCACGAAAAGAATCTTTGGTGATTGCTTTTTTTTACTAACAGTTTGTTGACTTGTTTCTCTACACAATTCTTTAAATTTGCCCATAAATTTTCGATTGGGTTAATATCTGGACTATTAGACGGCCAATCCATAATTTTTGGGCATTGCTGCATG